ATCTTTTTCTCTCCTCTCCTTTTTACTCACTCACTCTCTTCCACTAATCTTCCCTTCTCCTTTTCACCTTTCCCATCCTCCCATTCTCTCACCCTCCTTCTTCCCCCTACTACAACCCCATCATCCCCCCTCTTATACCATCGCAAACTTTCTCTATTTCTCACCTCTCTTTCACTTTTCCTACCTCTTTCTCACCTCTTTCCCCCACCCCAACTTCAAAATCTTCACTTTTTCTTCTTTTGTCCTTCTCTTTGATTTATATTTTCTTCCTTCTACCAAAAATTAAAATTATTTTCTCACCTCCTTTTTTCATTTTCTTGATTTTTTTTTTTTTTGTAATTATTCTGAAAAATCCGATTTTTTTTGCGGCACCCTCAAATCTGGTGAGGACTTGACCATTCTTGCTTGCGGCGCACATCTTGACCCCTTGGGGGTAACGAATTGCTGCCAAAATTTTCTCTTGGGGGTATTTTTTTCCAGCACATTTTGAGCCCTTGGGGATGGCGAGGTGCTGGTAAATTTTTTCCTTTTACTCAGTCATTTGGCACACTTTGACCCCATGGGTGTAACGAAATACTGCCAAAATATTTGAAAAATCCGAAACTTAGTTTTCTCTTCACGTTCCTCCACCTCCTCATTTATTTATTTCGTGAATTCTTTATTTCTTTATTTTTCTGAAAATTTTAACTTGCAAAATTTAGTGTCTTTCCTCTTCTCTTGGCACATTTTCACCCGATTGGGGGTGGAGAAATGACGCCGAAAGTTCCAAAAAATTAATATTCCTTTTCTCCTGACCTCTTGCTTATATCTTTAGTTATTTATTTTATTATATTGTTATATAAAGAATTCATTATTTTTGTTTATTTTTCCTTCCCCCTCCTCTCCATGGTTGTTACTCTGTCTTTGATTAGGTTACCGCTACTCCACCCTAATCCTCCCCCCAAAACCCGGTTAACAGTGGACCCCTTTCCCCGCACACCAACCATCTCTTTCCCTACCTCTTTCTTTACCTCCCACCATGTCAACCCCCCTTCCTCCACCGCACACAGACGAGAGTATGTCCGACGGGATCGTTACGGTGCCATCCACCTATCAGGCGCCCATTCAGCCAGCGATTTGCAGTTAGGCCCTTATGGACCTTGAGATCATCCTCGCGGCCCTCCTCGCACCCATGCAAGCGTGCCTTGATACGCTTGGACCCATACGGGTGCAACTCAATGCGCTCACCCTTGACGTCAACCGCCTCAAGGGATTTCCTCATCGCTCCTCCCACCGCTCTCACACTCCATCCCCTACCGACTCCCAGTCCGGTTCCCCATGACTCCAGACACGCAGACGTGGTGGTTGTCCCTCCTCTGCGGTTCAGGCTCAACACTCACCCTCATCAGTGGTGAGTGTTGCTGCCGCTCAGACCACCCCGTCTATTGCGGCACCTTTATCGGCCCCCACTGCCCCTATCGCTTCCGCCATTGTCGTATATGTTGCCACCTAGATATCGATATTTGGCCATGCAGGCTCATCTACCCATCCCGGTTCTGAATAAAAAAGTAACAATGTTTAGAAAGAAGGTCCAATAATTCAACCGAAATGAAATGACTGAATGAATACAAGTTGTAGCTAATACCCAAGGCATCAAAGATGCATTCCAAGCTCTCTGCACCGGTCATGGCATTATGACTTAGAGCTCTCCCTCCTCCTATCTCCTTACTCCCACCTTAGGGCACCCCTCAATTCATTACTACTCCCCGTACTTGCGTACCCTCTACGACGACTCCACCTCCGACCCCGCGCACCTAGCAAATGGCTACTCTGCAGGCCACCATTACGCAGACTCAGGCAAGGATTCTTACCTCGTGACAACCTCACCCTTCACACGTTGCTCACCCTTCTTCCTCGTCTTCTACCCCTTCCACCTCTATCATGCAGGTTCGCTTCCCTCGACCTGCTCCCCCTCCTCTCCCTTCTTACCTCGTCACTCCATAGTTGCCTGCAGTCGTCGCCTCCACATCTACTGGTCCCCCTGCCAGTGGTTACGGCCCACAACCTGCTCCCACTCCTACCCCTGCACCGGCCCCGACTTCTGTCGCCCCAATGCACGTACCTCAACCACTGTCCCCTCACCGTCAGCACAATTAGCCCACATGGAGATTGCGTACAACCACGCCGTTTCGCCAGCCACAGGGATGTCGCCATTCTATTGCGACCTTGGCTACCACCCTTGCGTACTCGCGGATTTTCTGCGACCATTGTGGTTGCACCCAGACACTCGTTGTCTTGCGCTTGACGCTTGACAATGATTATGACGCGCGCAGACGAGAGTCTATCCGTCTCCCAGACTCGCATGGCCACATAAGCGAACCGATCGCAAATGGATCATCCATTCAAAGTCGGTGACGATGTGCTCGTCGACGCATGCCACTTGCAACTCGAAACGGATATGCTTCGCGAGTTCAGGCGTTGCTTCTTCATTTCATGCTGCATCCTCCAGGCCGTCGGTTCTAATACTGTCGCTAGTCCGGTCAACTTCTGTGTGAAGCTGCCCGATAACCTTCGATAGACTCACGTAAATGATGTTTACCACGTCTCCTTGTTAGGTCCATCGCAACCCGTCCGAGTGATTTGTCGGACGCCCTTACGAGCGCGCTCTAGTTATCATGGTGGACGGTCACGAGGAGTTTGTCGTTTTCGACATCGTATCTCGCCAAGTTACCGAGGATACCCCTCCACTCATCACATACTTTGTGCGTGGGAAGGGTTATCCTGATGAGGAGGCTACTTGGGAGCCCCTCAACACCTGGAGCACGCCAGGATGTTGGTGCGTGCCTATGATCGTGCTTGTCGTGCTGAGATGCATGCTCGTATTCAGCCAACTAACCCTCTCTCTCCTCCTTCGGTTGAGGAGATTGCTGAGGACGAGCCCGCTTTCTCTGAGGTCGTTTTTCAGCAACAAACAAATACCTCCGCTCATTCACAATGCACTCGTCGACACCCTTTGCGCCTTGATGATTGACACTCTCACGACCTATCTATCGATCACTGACTCACACTATCATGTACTCCATCAACTTCTTCAGGATGTCAGCGTTTTGCAACTCTGCTTCGACATCGACTTGGCCCTTACCTCATTGACGTCATCGACCACTTCGACGACTTCAGCTACCTTATTGGCTTCAGCCACTTTGGACGCACCACCACCCCACCGTGTGCATTCCTTTGTATGTGTCGCATAATGGTTCTCACTAGTTGGTTCTCGTTGAGTTTGGCTCTCCCTTGGTATTGCATAGCCATTGGGACCGTGGCGTTATCTTGGCTTTCCTGCTCCCAGATCTGGCTCGCTCCGCAGTCGGTGAGTTGTGTGCATGCTTCCCTCACCCACTGCCCCCATCACCCTAGTGCTGACCATTGCATGCCTTCAATTAGGCATATCTCCACCCTGTTCCAGACTCCCCTTTCATGGTCGCCCCTGCATGGTGTCACCCTTTTGTCGAGCATTACCCGCCTTGATGGTCTATGTATTAGGGTCATTGGTTTTGATTCACTACCACTCCCTCGCCCTAAGCCTGATGACCTATCCCGCCCTTGTGTGTGACTACCCTTAGGAGTTTCGATTCTTAAGCTGCATTCACCCCCTTTGAGACCATCCCACTCTTAATGGTTCATCGACACGTTAAGGAAGAAAACAAAAGGACGATGTATCTTCCCATGTTCCAGCGGAAAATTCGTTTTCATTTTCAACATTTCATGAGTAGTGGAGCAAGGCCCATTGCCTCCCGCCCCCTTCCATTCCCTGTTCCCACTACCCCCTGGAGTATGCGCCTGGCGTCCACGTCCTCACCCGTCATCCTCCTCGTTGCTCGTAATTGTCCATCCTCCATTGCTTCCATGGCTGGCGTCGCAGGTGTGACCCAGCAGGAGAACGTTGCAGGTGTGATCGGCAGCTGCAGCAGTCGTCACTATTTCAGGACTCAGGAGATGGGCCCGTCTGGTTACGAGTGGGTGCATACAGTTGTGGGTGGGTACGGGTAAAGAAAACCTGGGCTGCATAGGGTACGGGTGGTTAAAACCTGGGCTGTGTAGGGTACGGGTGGTTAAAACCTGGGCTGAGTAGGGTACGGGTGGTTAAAACCTAGGCTGCATAAGGTACGGGTGGTTAACAAACAGTTTGGGTTCAGGTGGCCATGGGTGGTTTTGAAAAACAAATGTCCATGGGCAGGTATGGGCAGTTACAGTCTGAAGAGGTTCAGGTAGGGCAGGTATGGGTTAACATCTTTTTCTTTTGGAGCAGGTAGAGATGGGTAAAGGTCCGGTAGGCCAGGTATACAGTGGGTATGGGCAGCGGTTAGGTTGGGTACAGCCATTCCTAAAAGTCCTGGTTGCCAACTCTCTCTCTCTCACATGGTCACTCGCTCTCTTTTTGTTTGTTTGCAATTGTAATTGTTGATTAACTCTGATTGGACATCGATTCTCCTATCAGTTTGGAAATTCAAAGATAAGTGATCTGAACTTGTTTGCTATAGACAAAACCTCTCTCTCTCTCTCTCTCTCTCTCTCTCTTTTTGTTTGTTTGCAACTGTAATTGTTGATTAACTCTGGTTGGACATCAATTCTCCTACCAGTTGGGAAATTCAAACATAGGTGATCTGAACTGTTTGCTATAGACAAAATCTCTCTCTCTCTCTCTCTCTCTCTCTCTCTCTCTCTCTCTCTCTGTCTCTCTCTCTCTGTCTCTGTCTCTCTCTGTCTCTCTCTCTCCTAGGAACAGAACGGTAGGAGGCAAGTGAATACACACGCAGAGGAAGTTCGTGCACACTTTTCCAACGCTCTGTCCTTGCTCAAGTTTCCCTCTACTGAAACACAACGGTCATGTGTATACCAGATTCGCTGACATGCCGGAGGTGCCACACTTCGTACAAAATGCCAGCAATGTGACAAAAAATGGGCGACCGAACCAGGAAAGAGAAGTAGGACTCGCCGTTCTCGCAGCAACGGCACATCTGAAGCACGGCCTCGATGACGAGATTGATGTTGGGAAATGTTTTAAGTCCACGAAGGATAACCCACAGACATGGACAGATTTGCAGGTCCAAAGATGAGCAACTCAGTTCACGGGGTTAGTACTTATGTCTGCCGATCGGAACAACGGTGACAGCCCTGTTGTCTGCCCCGTGCTTTACCGCCACGCCTTTGGAGTCATGTTCACTTGGAACACCGACTACGAAAAGGTGGAAAGCACTGAGGAAGCGGTATTGGGCATATGTAAGAGGGTCTATTTGGAGGCTGGACTTACAACAGTCGGATGGAACGTTAGGCAAGACTTACATCATCCTTACGTACAAAGACCTGCAACGTTGGAGTCCAATCCACCCTGCCTGCAGCGATCTGGCTATGCTGGACAGCGAAGGTGTGCTCGGGCCCTGTATTGCCTCATCACGAGATATGATTGTCAACTGAACTTCCACCTCAGCTCGACGCAGGTCCTGAAGGAGGAAGCGCTGAACGTGGGACTTTCAATGAGTGCACAAGGGTGTACATCGGCGAAGGGGAGTTGCTACGACATCAAGGAGATGTTCTCCTCGATACCCCATGAGGCCGTAAGAGATGCGGTGTTCGAGCTCCTTCGCACACAGGTGGCGACTAGAGGCAAGAATTGTCTACTGTCCAAGACGGGGCGAGCAGAAGCCAGCTACGTGACGATCAAAATTGAGGACATTTACAAGATGGTCGTGTACGACCTCTCACACGCGTACATGGTTTGTGGAGAAGTAATCAAGAGGCGAGTAGTTGGAATTCTGATGGGTAAAACCATGAGCCCAGTACTTGCCACTGTGACTTGTGCAATGGCGGAAAGTAAATTTCTGCAGTTGCGAGGTGCGGACAGCAAACTCGTCAAGGGTTGGAGGATGGTTGACAACGTTTCGTTTATAGTTGGCTTTTGCAGTAAGGAGGGATCTGGAACTAAGGCCCAGGACGTTCTCGCGGCTTTCGAGGCTGTGTACGGTCCAAGACTCAAGCTCGTACGGAAGGATGACGACACGAACTCGTTGAATGTCATCGGGGGTCGGATGTATCTACAGTCTGAACCGGTACAAGTGCCTTTTGCACAAGACACCAAAAACACGGACACACTCCGAACAGTTGGCACACTCAGGTATCGATCGATGCAAGATTTTTCGAGCTATTTGGAAAAAAGAACGAAGAAAGGGGCGCTGTTGGCAACTTTGAAGAGGTTGTGGTACTTGTTTACTTCGGTGGCATTGGCGGTTGGTCCTATAATCTATGCACTTGCGGAAAGCAACCCCCGGAGGTCTCTCTCGGGGCCTTGGCCTGTTTGGCCAAGGTTACGGGGGAATTTCTGCTGAAATGGCTGTATGTGCTTATGTGCCAAGGATGTAAGGGTCTGCCCAGACTCGAACCAAAGATCGGGTTTTCTAGGGAAAGAGACAGTCCCGGACGGGAGGTACCACACACCTTTCCAGGAGATGCGGGCAGATACCTCCAGCAGTCAGAATCGCCGAAGGTACTTGGATCTGGTTAGGACCAGATCCATCTTGACAGTTGGGTAGGACATGTTTTTTACTCGTTTTAATTCGTTTACTTGTTTTCTATTTGGTCCCTGGGCGTCTTTTGGTGCTTTCGTATGAATCTTTTGTACGTCCGCTGAGACGCGGGCTTAGGTACCCGCCATTGACACGTGGCGGCATAGTGAAACCGACTCGCACACTGTGCGTGGACGCTTGCGCCTTTATTTTGCTTCCGTTGGAAAGAAGGAATGCTCGGAACTTCGTGTGATTCGACATTTTCTATTTTATTTCTTCTTTACTTTTTCTTTTTCCTTTCCTTTTCTTTTCTAGCCGTTCTAGTTTTTGGAGGTAAGCGACCTCACGGAGGCATAGGCAAGACTTAAGCACGAGACTTCAGCTGAAAATCACGAGAGGCAGGGCCAGTGGCCTCTCTTTTCGACGAGATGCACTTGATGGCGTACCTACCTGACAAGTCCACACAGACGGATGACACCCGTGGTAGGATTTGCAATGTCGATGCGATGGGGAGACTCTAGCTATGGTTATGCGTGGGCATGTTTTGAAGTGATCCATTTTGTCCTGTTTTGAAGGTTGAACTTGCTTTGCTTGTTTGTTCAAAACTTGTTTTTTTGGGTCTAAGTGTGCATGTACTCTGCTCTATGTGTTGCTGTCCCCTTCCCGACAGACTGTGGCCTCAGTCTGCCACTCTCTCTCTCTCTCTCTCTCTCTCCCCCTCTCTCTCCCTCCCACTGACTCACTCTCTTTTCGTTTGTTTGCAACTGTAATGGTTGATTAACTGTGGTTGGACATCGATTCTCCAGTCTGTTTGGAAATTGAAACATAACTGATCTGAACTAAATTCTTGCTTGCTAAAGACAACAGAAGTTCCCGTCCAATCACCTTTTCAACCCTAGTGTGGCAGGAGTCAACAATGACCCGAGGAGCTGACTCAGAATCACATTTTTCCTCCCGTCCTGTTCTCTTGGTGGCAGATTTGGCAGTGCTGGTAGCTCAGTGTATCATGTTGGCCTTGGAGATCCTTAGCTGTAGTGGCTGCATGTAAACAACAGGTTACTGATTGTTAATCGACGTTGCTGGATGCTGCGAGTGCCCCTCTGAAGGTTTTATGGACATTTCATGGGAAGACAGCGGAGGTGGATTTCCAAGTTTTCTCTAGATGAGTTGGTTTCTGCACTTTCCTTGATTGGAAGGTGAACATTCTGGCACGGGAACCTCGACTGAGTTTTCTCAGACCTGTTGGAGAAGGTGTGACTACTGGACCTTGAATTTCCCCTCTGAAGGTTTATGGACATTTCATGTGGAAGTGAACTAGATGAGTTGGTTTCTGTGCTTTCCTTGCTTGGCAGGAAAACCTCTACTGAATTTTCTCAGACCAGTTGAAGAGGATGTGACTGCTTGACCTTGGATAAATACTTTGGACTGTGTAGAATCCAGCCGCTGGCCAGCTGCGGTATCGTCAGACTGTTGCGTGCGATATGTAAGGGGTTTCCTAGTGTCACAGCAGGTGTATGGGTCCTTGCATCCCAAGAAAACCTGCTCCCAAACCTGTGAAATATAATGCCATAATTGCCATTATTATTACCGTCAGACTGAGTCAGTAGTTTTCCATGCACGCCCTTGAGAGCGTTGATCTTTTATCTGATCCCTCAGCTATCCTTCTTTTCCGTTTTTAAAAGGGCAACGGTCTTGAGTTGGCATCATTGAACTGACCGACCCTAGGTAATTCAGAATTGTAGTATTCTACTCATCTGCTTCTTGTGGAGTTCGAACTCAGGTCTGTATTCCAACAGCTCAGGGGTGTACCAACTGAGCTATGCCAGCGGGTTCGACTTACACTTCGAGTTGTACCGACATGAAATGGCTACCCTGATGACCACCTTACCGTGAAAAGAATACCATCAGTTTGTAGCCCATGCAGTTTCTTGATGGTGTGGACCTTTTCTCTTATCCCTTTGCCTCCACTTAAGTGGTACCATGAGCAATCCACCAGACTGCACCGGTGTCCGCCTTCTGACCGCTTTCTGACCACCTTCTGACCGCCTTCTGACCGCCTTCTGACCGCTTTCTGACCGCCTTCTGACTGCCTTCTGACCGCCTTCTGATCGCCTTCTGACCGCCTTCTGACCGCCTTCTGACCGCCTTCTGACCGCTTTCTGACCGCTTTCTGACCGCCTTCTGACCGCCTTCTGACCGCCTTCTGACCGGTTTCTGACCGCTTTCTGACGGCCTTCTGATGGCCTTCTGACCACTTTCAGTCAGACTTTTCGTGGCGCGTGTAAGGAGTAGCATTAATAGGAGAACAAAGGAGGGGTTAGGTGTTTGAAACCTGGTGAAGTAATTGCGATGGAAACAATATGCTCAACATCATATACGTATAGGTTCTCCAAGCGATTGCACAAGCATTTCTTTCAGGCTTTTTGGTAGACTGTGCTGCATTTCCAATTTCTTTGGAGGAGGTCCTAACAGTCAGTTTTGACTATCATGGATCTCCCTGTTTATCCTCTATCAGTATCTGAGGATAGGAATGGTAGTCATGAGCATAAAGATGAGCAGACGCTACCCTTCATGCTTATGACTGCACCTAGTTCACAGGAAATCTCCCAAAACCGTGACATGACTCATGGACAGTCCGAAATGACAGACCTGTTGAAGAAATTCCCAAGCCACAGTTTGCGGGACGATGCTCAGCCATCTCAAAATCAGCCAATTGTGTTACCCTTCCTTAGGCTGTTTACCTCTGGTTCCACCTGCAACATAATGCATCAGTGTAAGATTGACGCGAGCAAGCGTGGCGCTACTGATGGCCGCGATGTCTCCATCCCGTGCTGTGCGGACGGTGCTCAGTGGATCAGATATGTGCACGTTCTTGCTCGGAAAGTTGATTACGATGCTTTTGATGGATGGTGTGAAAGAATACACAATCGTTCATTCCGTGGGCGTGAGCTAAAGCTTGTCCTCTCACACGGGTTAGTGGGCTTTGATTACAAAGTTGAGGGACAGGATTGTTATTTTGACGATCTCTTTTGTTACAATGACAGGGGCTTTAGAAATCCATCATCCTCGGCAAATCACCGGTTCAGAAATCCATCTTATTTGGCGGATCTCCAAATCCTTGGGAGTTCGGGCCCGATTCTTAGGAGCTGTTGCTTAGCGTTATTGTTGAACCTCTCAGTTAGCCGACGTACTACTGTAGGCGGCGCACAGCCAGTGGATGGGAGAAGGGACTGCTTTGTAGGAATTTCACCTCGTGTGTCGATGTCAGTATGTGAGGAGGAGGGCCTTCGGTCCACCGACGAGCTATTTTCGGACAACAGAATCCGAGTGCTTCGGAGATATATGCGGAGTTTGGGTGAGGGCCTTTCCGCCTGTAATACTTCACTGCAACACCTGAAGACGATAGAAGTTTGGTCGCTGGAAGCAGATGTGCCAGAGCTATGGCTTTCTTTAATTTGTGCGTACCTACACCATCCTCATTGTTTGGTTACACAAATTGTGTTTGACACTTGTAATTTCTCTGCAGTACCAAGCGCTGCCACATGCATAAGTAACATGCTTGCTGAGAGTCGTTCGCTCACTCACTTCAAGGCAAACAGATGTGTGCTCGACTTAAGAGGGGCACTTGACCTCGTAAAGGGTGTGACAAACAGCATCAGCTTGCAAGAATGCAGTCTTTCGGACACCTTCCTTCCGCCGCAAGCACTCAGTGTACTTTCGGACGGTCTGGCATCTGCTGTTTATGGGCAGGGAGAGGCTGCAAGCGCAGGAGCCCAGACACCACTGCCTGTTGCAGGTCCAGTCGGACAAATTTGTGAGGCTGCAGAATTTCCCAGCTGCGCAGCGAGATCTGGGAAGGGTCTCAGTCAGCTTCGCAAACTTGAGCTTTCGTATCTAGGAGGTGGCTGCGCAAGCGATCGTGAAAGTGCACCGCAGGCTCTCGCCAGGTTATTGAGAATGAACAACACTCTGAAGGAGCTAAGGATCTCAAACGCCTGCTCATGCGACGAAATTCTGTCATCCATGGAAGGTCTCAGGGGTAATCACTGCTTAGAAGTCCTCCAGTACTGCTCTGCAGATCCTCACGTGTCTACTGAAGAAAGAGCGCGTATGCTGTGTATCCTAGACCACAACACGACTCTCAAACGTTTGTTGTTTGGTACATTCACAGATGCTGAGATCCAAAGGAAGCTGCATAAAAACAATTTCCAGCGAGAGTTGCTTGATGCCTTGGACTACGCCAGTGGCTGGCGCATGAGCTGCTTTTTGGGAGACGACCTTCCTCCTCCTCTGCCCCCACCTCTTTACCAGTCAGGCGGCGAACAGAACCCATCTGACATGCCATCCAATTTACGTTTCACAGCTGATGCGACTCCCAGTCAGCTCACTGGATCACTGCAGTGGCTGTCAGACCCAGATCAGACACTGCAGCGCGAATGGGAGTCCTTGCGCGGCAGTGCTTGCATGGCTGCAGAGGGGATATGGAGGTTGCGGCGCCAGATTTGCGATGCAGTTTCACTGGAAGCTAAACAGCGGACCTTTTTAAAACATCTGGAGTCGGGAAGGCTTGCCAAAGCGGAAAGAATTGTGTTCAAAGGGTCGGCGACCCAGGCACTACAGTTCGAGGATGATCTCTGCTCTCCCAGGCCTCTTGAGCTGTCAAAAGGCCTGAATTTCTGGATCGAGGTGTGCATGTCTCGCCTAGGAAGATTCTTGTCTTTGCACGGACCCTCCCTCCATCGCCTGAGGCGAATAGCGCTCCATGACATGGTTGGCACACACATATCAGAACAGTTCCTCATGGAACTTGGTTATTTCCTGAGACGAAAGTCGTGCCTCGTTCAAGAACTCGTGTTTACGTTGTGCGATTTTAGTATGGCAGGAAGAGCTGGCTGCTTGATAGGCGATACATTAGCACAAAGTTCCTCGTTGACGGTGTTTCACGCTACGTCTTGCAGTTTCGGTTTTGGAGGGGCGATTGCATTGGTTGAGGGTATAACGAGGAGCAATAGTCTTCAGGAGTGTGATCTCTCTGGCACATTACTTCCAGGACAGGCATTGACAGTGTTCGCAAACAATCTGGCATCTACAAGAAACAAGGCAGCAGCTGCAAAGGAGGTTGACGTAAGCGATGCGTCAATGGAAAGCGGCGAGGCAGGACCGACGAAGAGGGCCGCAACGTGGCCAGCGAAAACCACGCTCCGATGCACCCGACTCCGCAAGCTGACACTGAGTTACATTACCGAGGGTTTGGCCGACCATCGCGAGTGCGCCAGCAAGGCTGTTGCAAGACTTTTGACAACAAATGATACCTTGAAGGAGCTCCACATTACTAATCGAGCCCCAGTTTCCGATATCATAGCGGTCTTGGAAGGTCTCGCGGATAATAACTGTCTAGAAACTCTCAGGTGTTCCTGTGAACATTCTGGTGTCACTGCGGAAGAAAAAGGGCGCATACTGTTCCTTGTCGACAAAATGACGCACATCAAGCAACTACATCTAGGCTTGTCCGTGGAGGCTGAAATCAATACGAAGCTGAGAAGGTATGCCTTGGAGCGTGAATTTCTGCGCAGCACTGGAACTCTCGAATACGTCAGTGGGCGACACATAAGGTGCTTTTTGGTTGGCCATCCACGTGCAGGGAAGACCACGCTAAGGAAGTCCCTTTGCCGAGGCAGGTGGAAGGCCATGGTCACAATAGAGAAGCCACCAAAGTACATGCAAAGGAAAAAACACAGACAGACAAGAGGAATTGAGACAAAGGCTATTCGGGGCCACGGTGGTATTAGCGTTCAGCTATGGGACGTGGCTGGGCAGGAGGAATATCACACCATGCATGACCTTTTCATGCCCACTCTTGGTGACGATATGGCCAGCCCGTCGATGTTCCTGTTGATCTGCAATCCTGCCGACAAAAAGGGATGGAAATCGGAGCCAGACTTGCGCATCCAGCTGGGATACTGGTTGAAATTCATTGGTGCTAACACCGTTGCAGATTGCAAGCCTCTTGTAGTGCTCGTCTTCAATCCACACGATCAGAATCCGAGCTTGTATGAATCCGCAGGTCAGGCAGGATCATTACTGGACTGGGTGGACGAACAATTCGGCGACAAATTCAACATTGCCAAAACGCCGTTCGTTGTCGATGCAAGGCGACGTACAGCCGCGAAGCCGGTGCACGATTTCCTTATTCAGCAGGCCGATTTGATCCTCCGTGAGGTGAAGGTACTGAAGATCGTCGACAGAATTCTCTCTGAGGTTACCGTCAGGTCACGGACAAGCCCCCTTATCTCTTGGAAGGAATTTGATAGTATCTGTCAAAAAGAAGTTTGCCCTAGCACTGCTGAACTAACTCTCCCCGATGAAGCTGAGCCACCTGAGAAAGAGGGATTTGGACTCTCAGAACGGACGACTAGGTATCTTGCTGGCCTGACAAACACGTTAGCGCACTATCTTCATGACATTGGGGTGGTCATCTGGTTTCGTGAGATGCCTTTCCTTGTTGCGAGTCCAGAATGGTTCTGTTCCAAAGTCGTGGGCGAAATCATCCCAACGGAGTGCAGCAAATCCGGAGTCCATGATGGCATAGCAAGCCATGATCTCCTCGTGAGGGTCCTTTCACGATCTTTCCCGTCGCAATATCAAGCAAACGTGGGTGATCTGATCACTCTGATGGTGAAGATGCACCTGGGCTACGAGTTCATCCATCGCAACGAGAAAAGCATGATGATGCCGGCATGTCTTCCCGAGTGGAGAGACAACACGGAAATCGCGTGGAAAGTGGAGTGTAAAGAAGAGATGACTTACTTTGGGTTTCGAATCGAGTGCAACAACAAGAAGCAGACAATGCTGACGACTGGGTTCTTTCATCGGTTGCAGGCAAGTTGCACTGCTCATATTATATTGAAAAATTTGAATATATTCTGTCCTCTCAAATCCTAACTGTGCAGCACTGTTGGCATCATATGTTTGGTTTCTTTTTCAGCCGGTGAGGCACTAACATTACCGTGCCGATGATGCCCATCCATCAGGATTTGAACCCATGATCTGATTATCAACAGCCACTGTTGGCACCATACTTATCAATCCGCCTCTCGTAACCCTCCCTACTTTGCTCATCTTTTATCGTTAGTCGGCCTCGCCCACTCCTTTATGTGTAAGTTCATTGCCACATCATCAGTCCTACCGTCTTCCCCCGAACATAACGCACCCTGAAAATGAACGTATACAAGGCATGTTTCCGGCCCGATACAGGCAAAATGGGGGTGCGTTGTGTTCGGGGGAAGACGGTAGGTTTGAAGTTTCCCTTGATATTCATGTGAGAGCAAAAAAAGGACACTGCTTGCCATACGTTATCTTGATGCCATGCTTCCCAAATTCCCACTCCTCCAGTGGGGAGCGAAGAGAAGAACAACATTAGTTCCATATTAAGCAACAATGACCAAAATAGCTTACTAGTTCTATTTTAAGAAGCCTCATTCTCAATTCAAGGCAATCAACCTCCATCAGCATGGCATGCTTGTCAGACATACATGATCACGAGAGACAGGGTGAATAACAAATCACATAACAGGCTAGCTCAGTTGGTACACCCGCTAACTGTTGAAATACGGACCAGAGTTCGCACTCCAGTGGAAATAAATGAGTAAAAATACTAAAAATAGTAAAATGAAAGGATTCGCGCTGCAGAAACCCAGTCCCGGTCCCAAGGTCCCGACAAGTCCCACGGCCGTCCCGTAGGGTAGGTTGTAGGGTCCAGAGGCCGAAGCATCCTAGGTCGGTAGGAGTCCGTCCGGTACCAGACAAGAAAAGTCCAGAAGCGTCCAGTCCAGTCCGACAGTCCCAAATCCAATTTTGCAGCATGCCCCAGGAAAGTCTGGAAGCTACCGGACCGACAAAATGTTTGCAGCAGACAGGCCGTGGCCGACCGATACCGGTCTGAAGCAGGCCAAGGCAAGCCAAGCGGAGCCAGGCCAAGTCCTATATTTAGCTGCTACAGTGCAGCGGCTCATGACTTGTTCAGTTGCGAGATGCTGAAGCTGCTGCTGCTGCTTGTGCGTGAAGGCAACTTGGGCAGTGTGCGCCCGTAGAAGAAGAGGGCGCTTGAGAGATACTCCATAGCTAGGCTAGCGGTAGAGCAGGAGGACGGCGGTTATAGCTGCCAAGGTGTAAGCTACATGAGTGGGTGTATCCAGGATAACGATCTAGGGTAGAGAGAAGAGAGAGAGTGAGGCAGAGCAAGTCAAGTCAGAGAGAGAGAGAGGAGAGGGGAGAAGCCATAGCCTCTGTCTGCTTGAGATCCGTTGTGCGTGTGTGTGCGGCAGAGCCGCTGGAGACAAACATTCTTGTATATTGATAATAATATTGGAGACGACATCTTCAAGTGTTGATTGTATCTCGATCTGGCTTCTCACGTCATGCTGCTTGAGCGGGCGCTACCGTCTTCACCCGAATAGAGCGCCCGGTAATTATCGCCGTATCTGGGCTGAAAGTTGTGCCAAACACAGGTATGCAATCAGACTCATTTTCAAACACACTTTTCACACATGTAAACAGTAACGCAGCACACTGGCGACATGCGCCCACTCAAAACTCAGAGATATG